GTAAAAATTAAACTAAATTTTATTTAAAATATATATTTTATATTTATTATTTTTTAGAATAAATTTAAAATTCAAACTTATTTTTATAAATAAAGATCAATTTATTCTGGCAAGTCTAAAAGGCAAATTTCTCTCAAAGAGTCTTCTTCATGATTAGTTTGTTTTATGCTAGATAAGTATATATCTTTATTCTCAAAAGTTCAAGATAATCTAATGGTGATCAAAAAGTATTTTGAAGAAAATATTTTTTTTAACTTAATATTGAACCATCACAAATAATTTTAATTTAAACTATTCATCATGATATATATTGCAGACTTTTATTTTCAGCATTATAAAAAAGAAATTTATGTTAAGGTTATAAATTTCTAATTATTATTACTTATCATGAAAAATTTTTATAAGAAATTATTATGTTTGATTACTTGATCACTTAATGTCAAAATGGCTTAATAAAGATTATAAAGTATGAACTTTTCTAATATTAGCTGATAAACAAAAAGAACATGTATGGATAACTCATAATGAGTTTATTTTTCATACAATGGTTTTTATACTGTGTGAAGTTCAAAAAAGGTCAAGGACAAGGTATATATGTTAGTAATTTTTTGACAGAAATAATTGGTCCACTCAAAGATAATTTGGATGAAGCAAGAGTTACAATAGTTCTTAGAGCCAATCATGATAGATATTGAAATAGTGACAAACTTATTGAGCAAGTTAAAAACAATAGATATTTTTAAATGAACACATCCTGACTGTATTGGCATTTTTGCTTTGATAATGCAACCTCTCATATAGCTTTTGTTGAAGATGCTTTAGTTACATCAAAAATTAATTTGGATCCAGGAGAAACAGTTCCAAAAATACGCAATACAATGTGGAATGGATAATTATAACCAATAATTATTGAGCAAGATTATCTTATTTATTAAAAAAAAAAAACCAAAATATTAATCTTTGTGAAAAACCAAAAGAAATTCAGTGAATTCTTAGAGAACAAAATTTATGGCATGATGAAATAATATTGGATTGTAATTTATGCAAAAGTAAACAATCAAATCCTGATATTATTGATAGATTTCTTAGCTCAACGTGGAAAAATTCAACAAATAATTAAATTGCAAGGATATGAGGTAAAAATCATTTTTATTTTTTTAAAAATTAATAATATTAATATTAGATTAGTTTTTATCCTAAATTTCATCCCGAATTCAATTGTATTGGGTACAGTAAAAAAATATACACAATAAATTGTGAATATTCATTGCCAAAATTAAAAACAATACTTTCCGAGGCTTTTGATTCAATTTTATTAGAAACAATTCGTGCTTATGCAAGATTGTCATTTAGGTGAATGGATATATATATCGATATAAATTAATAGGTAAACTTGCAAGCATATGTGGTTAAAAAATGTAAATAGTATAATGAAAAGATTATGAATTACATAAATATTTTTTTAGAATAAATTTTTTTGACCAATCATTATATATCACGTGATAATGCTAATTGCATACTGTATATAAATCGACTTTTAACTAAATTTAATTTTTGAAAATTAAAACCAAAATTTGGCCACTCAAAAAATAATTGGAGATTTTCTGATGTCCCCGATACTATACATACCATACATATAGTGCGTATAGTATGTATAGTGTTCCACATACGTGTATTTGCCCATCATCACTCCCGATAACTTCTTTATAGTCCGTAATCACTTCTGGTGGTTTGTAATTACTTCGATAGTACTAATTGGTGAAATGGGGAAGCTCTATAGTGTTGCCATTATTATACACTATAACGTGACGAACAATCTTTGCAGACGAGATTATTCTCAGTTTTATTTTTATCCCTTTTCAAACTTGCACATAAGAAAGCACTCGTCTTACTGAACTGCAGCATAGCATCCCATGAGCGCAGTTTCTGTTTAGGAACCTTTAAAACAACGATTAAAGAAGGCCGCTGCAGTAATTTACAAATAAATAATGGGCTGTCGATCCATCAAATTATGAACATGTACATTGCAACATGATGCATTAAACCTTCCGCGTTCAAGAATTATGATTATGTGAAGATTTTAAGTGAACTTTGAAAAGTTCATATGTTCCAAAATCACCAAATTATTCCATGTATCAATATCGATATTCGATGTGGCTTTTTTTCACACGTCCGCCCGAATTCATCATTGCACATGTAATTTCTATCGCTATTAAAACTATTTTTATAATACGATCATCATTAATTTATATTTAAGACTGTTAACTGCGCCAAGTTTTTATATATATACAATTATACTATATATATATACATGTATACCCCACTAGTGTAAAATCATCCAACTTTCTACGTATCGGATTCTTTTGACACAAATGAAATAATATCGTTGCCTCCCGCTCCTTATGTGCGTGAGAGCTTTTTGACAGACATTTGTGTGCGTGTTCTAAGTCAATTAAGAGCACAGCATCCTATAAAGAGTGGGTCTCCCGTTAAACTCCAGACCCAGATATAATTTTTTTTGGTATAAAAAATAACTTAAAATATGTCTTCACAAAACGACAAAATAAACGGTTTTAATACACCCGCAGATACACCTTCCCCTATTAACAACAGCAACAACGAAAATCCGGTATGCAAATGCAACATTGAAGCTGTCGCTCGTCAAGTCGGCATACGTGGCAAGCCAGAAAACCGGGGTCAATATTTTTGGGGATGTGCAAAATATGGGACGATTTATGACAAGAATAAATGCAACTTTTTTAAATGGTTCGATGGCGATTCTCCAAATTCTTCCGATAATGGCGGATATGGGAAAATGACACCTAACCAACCTTACAACAATATTCGAAATAATCTAAATAGTAATGGAAAGCGACGTGCAGAATTCGAAGATGATGAACACACAATTGCACAACAATCCGCTGCACCCACCACTTCACTGCCACCACCAACAAAACGTCGTCACCTTTCATCGCAACCTTCATCACCAAAAATCGCATCGTCGTCATTATCTCCATTATTATTATCATCACCTTCTTCGTCTACTTCTATAATAACTTCCGATCATTATTCCACGCCTGAACTAGTCGAACTTCTAAAATATAACCTCATACGTCAAGAACGAATTGCAAAAGCACAAGAGCTATCAAAAATTTCTATACGAATGGAATTGCATCGTGTACAACAAGAGATGCAGAGAATGAAAGAAGAGATGGAATTATTGAGGAGGGAAAATCAAGTCCTCATAGGTGAAAAGAGGTTGTTGGAAAGGGAGTTGGAAATGACGAGACAAGAGGTCGATCAATCGAAAAAGAATAGTCTTTAACGGAAATTTATAGTAAATTAAAATGTAAATATTCAAATCTGCTTACTTTCCATATTGATATGCTTTTATAGTATATATCGAACATTTATTGAAATATCATAAGGTACTTAGAATATTTCTTTTTTTCCATATAATTATCTTTTATTACTATTTTTATTGTTTTTTTTAATATAATTTATCGATATTGTCTAATATTCACGTTGAAAGAATGTAGATCATGAAATTTTTGATACATGTATCGATCGCTTTTTAAAAATACATGTACATTTATCAAGTTTTCTTCCTTTTTTGATAATGCATGTACATATACATGTGCATGTATTGACGTGAAGTATCAAAGGTTACTTGTTAATGATCAATAGAATTCAAATAACTTATAAACCGGCAAATTTAGATTACTTGAATTCTAAGATTAGTGGTTATATGACTGATAAATTTTACTCGTTAATTATGATACAAATTTTTCACGTGATTATTTTGCATTTATAGAACATGCAATAACTTTGTTATTAGTGGAAAGTAATTTTTAAAAATTCAGACGCAATTTTTAAGACAACTATACAAAAAAATTTATCTCTAGAACTACATGTTAAAAAATCAAAATAACTATAACTAATAATATTATTCTAAACTAATAAATATTGTTCCTAATACAATTTAAGCTGAACTTTTTTTTTACTAATGTGCAGACTCGTTGACTCGGTAAAGTTTGCATAATCGTTAGTCAAAATTGATGCTGTTCATGATCGACTATGTATCACAATTATCACTGAAGGTTACTTTATGTAAGCACATTAAAAGCATAAAACAATGAATATATTATATTTTTTAGAAAAATACGTTCTTATTAAAGAGTTTGTGCTCGCATAATGAATACAAGTCTAGATGTCTCCTCTGATAAAGCATCTTTTAGCAGGTTCGACATTAGTCAAAAATTATAGAAATGATACTGCAATAGACTCACAGAACAGAAATTATTCGTCTTATTTCAGAGGAACGAGACATTTTACACAAATAATTCACTGCAAATATAGTTGTCGCAGTCTTGCCTTCCTGACCACACACGGATGATGAGAAATGTGATTGCTTGAAATCTCTAATTATTACATCTGGTATGTTCTCATTCAGAAATTATAAAATAATTTGCTTGATTTCGTTGCACGTTATCATATCATAGAGCCATCTGTTAGTCACTTTTAATAACCATGTTCATTATCTGCCATTTGAGTTTCCAGCCTCTCATCGGAAAATCTCACAAACCTCTTAAATAAATGGTATGTTTATTAATTATTATAATTTCAATAAGTTATATTCACGGGAATTGTTCTAGAACGTATCAAGTAGCCCTGAAAATACGAGCGCATCAATTTCATAAATGAAAGCTCGGAAATTTTAAAAAACAACTCGATAATCACAAAAAATTTATTCGACCTAAGAGAGGAATAACAGACAGATTCCTGCATGAAACAGGTATTAGGTTTCCAGATTGGCACTTCCATTTCCATTAATTCCATAATTTCCACGCTTCAGGCTCCATAACGTGCGTAAAGTTTTACCCAGAACATCATGTAGGAAAGAGTTACTCATGAATTCTCTAGAAATGGATCAGTCAATACCTACCAGGGAAATCGTCCTGTATCAATCACCATAGAATATGCAGTTCAGGATTGGATCAATGACCTATGGAAGAGCTCCGAAATGGTCAAACAAACTCGTTGTGAAGCACGCATTAATCCACACCTTTGATGGACTTAAGCCGGATCTCTGTGTCTTTATTGAGGAGATTGTTATAGTAACGTCTTTATCCCAAGATTGTACAAATGCTTCTGAGATGAAAAAAGAAAGAGTAGGTCTGGTTTGGCCGACGAATGCCTATCATTAAAGAATCGATTGGTAGAGTGAAACATAATGGACATCTCACAATCAAATAGGTATCAGAATCAAGAGAAACAAAAATTACTATATTTTAACTTATGAACAAGCATGTACACAATCAATAGTGGTCGAAATTTATTTTACATGTACATGTGACTATCATAATATATATGATCTAATAATATGATTACTTATCCGCTTTAGCCACCAGGCTAAAATTATATAATATTTAATAATCTACCCCATAATATTATAATCAGCCAACTTATCATTTTAATATAAACAAACGGAAACACGTGACTGGATATCGATCTTTTATATAAGTATTAAGTCCGCTTAGCAAATCAAAGTCGAAATCCGTCAGAACCTAGTTTTAGTCGAAATGGAAGTCGTAGCAGCGGTAGAACAAGGGAATCTTCTAATAAACGTGCTAAAGATCGAGAAAGGCATTGTGAAAATGAGGATACTCATCCGGTATATTTTTATATTTGAAATTAGTTTTGATTACTCATTATTATATGTAAAATTTTTTGTTTTTGATTAACTTGTCTCGTATTTTTAAGAAGCATTACAATAGCTTCGACACATCAATAAGCCTTCTTGGTTAGTGACCATATCAAATTCGAGTCTACCTTTTTATAAGGCGAAGATAGTGTATCTAAAACGCCATTTTGGATCCTATCATTTTGAGAGAGTAAGCATAATTTTTTTTGAAAAATAATTTCGGTATTTTTTTGACAATTTTTTTATATTCGGTTTTAGATAACTCAAGGTGATGAAGAATGGTGTGTTTATTTTGCATCAGAATCCCAGGCTCGTCGTTTTTTTAAAGAAAACATCAAGAAACGGGTGTTTGATTGTGAAATCCACTTGAACCTTTATCATCAAAACAAAAAACTTGACGATTCATCTTCATCATCTCACCATAGTCGAGAGAAACAGAGCAAAAGTAGTATTTCGGTATCATTATTGTCATC